ACTCTCTTTGTTACATGTAGGTGTTCGCATTCTAGTGGATAGTTAAGTCTAAATATTCAATTCAATTTTATTTGTATAGCGCCAAATCATAATATGCATTATCTCAAGGCACTTTACATAGAAGGTCAAGACCTTAAAATCGTATTAATACAGAGAAACCCAACAGTTCCCACAAATATACATTCCTAAACTACATGGTGTCCTTACATCTTGCCACTGGTGAGATACACAAAAGAGTTCAAGTTGATGCCTCTCTGTCTGGAGCATCTGAGTTAGATATGAAAGTCTATAAGTGCAGACACTTCAATGCACTGTTGGTTGGTCCTTTATCTATAACCTGACCTTGGGTACTGCTTGAAGAGAGAAGGGACTATCTGTGGAATTAGACAGGCACTATATATACACAACACAGTATATATTAGCATATACAGTAATGTGTGAGGATCGTAAAAGTTTAATCAGCAATGTGTGTGTGTGTGTGTGTGAACTAATGTATAATTAAGTTCAAGTTGGAAGGGAGCTAATGTTTGTACATATATGCATTTAAAACATTAACTGGAGAGGTGGTTGAGACTAAATTAGCTTGATAAGATTCTGGTGGTTTCATGGTATATCACTGTTTTAGTTTGTCTGTTTGTTTCTTTGCATGCCTGAACCTTTTAAATAGGTTCATAGTGGTTTACACTGTCATAAGTACACCGAATACAAGCACATTTTATTTTACCATGTGTAGTATTTATAAAGTCTTTGATTACTATAGGCTATTCTAGAAAAAATAGCAACATTTAAACATTTTTTACTGAGCAAAATGAAGAAGGAGTAATAACAGAATTTCAAAACAATCGATGTAAACAACTTTTAAATCGTCTAATTTTCAAAGTAAATTTTTTAAAGAAACTTCAGTGAAAAAAGAGACAATGAGAAGGTATTTCACAGCAGCTACACTTTTAGACGTATGAAAAAAGAGTCTCAATCTCCTGTTGATCTAACATTGAGCTTAGTGATGTCAATGAGACAAAGGCAAGAAGTGCTTTTACATATTCCTTTTGGGAAGTATTATGCGTAGACATAGTATTTCTTTTCACTGCTATACTTATGACACTCAGCTGTATGTGTCTGTTAAATAATTTTCTTCAATTGAACTCATCCAAAACAGAAATTCTCATCATTGGCCGCAGCAACACAAACATTCAAACACTTGTCGGAACATATATCCGGTAGAATATGTATCAAGCCTGTTGTCAGAAATCTAGGCGCTCTGTTTGACTGCAACTTGAGCTTTGAACAGCAAATAACAAACTTGTACAAACATGCTTTTATAAACTGAGAAATGTCTCTAGAATTCAACCAATGTTCAGATTTAAATAAATTTTACATTATTTTATCTCATTACGCCTGGATTACTGCAGCAGCCTTTTTACAGCACTGTACACAATTCAGCTGCCAGGCTTTAGCCAGGATTAAGAATGGTCGCAGTTTGTGGTGGTGGTTTGGGATCGGTAGTGTTAGCAAACCTGACAAACACCAAGAAGTGATGGTGTTTAGAATGATGCTGCCTTGAAATGGAGTTGTGTTTATCATGTTGCATAATGAAGACTCTAGTGCAGCTTGTCCCTGCTCTTCTCCAACCCCAGTGAGACTATTGATGGACCTGCCTATCAGTTGGCGTATCGGTCTGACATCGGGAAGGACGAACCAATCATCTATATCTGACACAGAGCTTTTTCTCAACTGAAGAATCATGTTCTTTGATTTCTCCAGTTCTTACAAAACTATTTAGACTGCCTTTCTGGGGACAAACTGTAGCTTGCTGGAGTGGACCTCCACCTCACATCCCGTATCTTGGACCATTTGACTGTGTGAGAATCCAGACATGTGTGTCGGACATGGCTGTCTGCAGCACGGGGGCCCAGCAGGGAACAGTTCTGGCTGTGTTCCTCTTCACCTGCTACACTGTAGACTTCTTCTTGAACTCACCCTCCTGTTTCCTTGCATTTGTAGAACCTTCACTTGATACCTGATGTTTCCTTTGGCGCCCGGATTCTTCAGTCAGACTGGGTGACTCGCTCTCTGGTTGGTGAAAACCAATGCAAATGTTAACGTGTGTGGTATCCCACAGCAAAGAAGTGATGACCTGTGAAATAGGAGAGTGTGTGTGCATCAGGAGATGGTTGAGGTTTGACGCCGTCTCCCTTTCACATACTGGTAGGACCCTGAAAGCGATGCCGCTTGACCTTGGCAATTCTTAAACTGAAATACTGTACCACCCAAACTGTAGAACGTGGACTAAATTCACCCTAATCCTTTCGTGATAGGACAGACAGACCAGCAGCGTCTGGGGGGTTGGCTCCGACTAGACTGTTTTATTCTGACCGATGAATGTCTCTGGTCTCCCTCAAATATCTTGGGTCAATTG